ATGTTGAAAATAATAAAAAATTTTGAAAAAAAAAAAAAAAAAAACTCCAAGAGGCCTCAACGACTCTCTAAAAGGAGGCAAAGGACCAGCGGTCTGCAAGGAGTATAAATCCTTCCACTCCCCCACCAACTAGTCAGAAATGAAGAAGCTTCTTGCATGAGAGGACAAACGTCTTCAAAGAAAAAACAAGAAAGTCCAGTTGCCTCTTGAAAAAAGCACCTTTGGGACAACCATGGACCTTGGATGATGGAGAACCTCTGGTTCTCCATTTTGCTTAGTTCTCAAGAGACAAGCACACTGCGTAGAGCTGGTTAGCACCCCAAAGACGACCCCCACACACCTTTTCATTAACTTTTAGTCTTGAATTTAAACCCTCCTTTGCCTCTTACCTAAACTGTTTATATAATTTTTACGTTTTGATGTTTTACTTCCGCACCACCCAGAGTCCCTCTGGGAAGGAGACAGGCAGCTTCCAAATTTGGTGAATAAATAAAAATTTGAAAACTTCCCAGCCGGTTTCTGACGAGCAAAGTCAACGGAGGGAAGTTGGGTTCGCTTAAAAACGGCACAGGTTCGCTTAACATCCATTGCAAGAAAGAGAAAGAAAGAAAGAAAGAAAGAAAGAAAGAAAGAAAGAAAGAAAGAAGGAAGGAAGGAAGGAAGGAAGGAAGGAAGGAAGGAAGGAAGGAAGGAAGGAAGGAAGGAAGGAAGGAGAAAAAAGAAAGAGAAAAAAGAAAGAAAAGAAAGAAAGAAAAAGAAAAAGAAAGAAAGAAAGAAAAAGAAAGAAAAAGAAAGAAAGAAAGAAAGAGAAAGAAGAAAGGAAAGAAAGAGAAAGAAAGAGAAAGAAAGAAAAAGAGAGAAGAAAGAAAAAGAAAAAAGAAAGAGAAAGAAAAAGAAAGAAAAAAGAAAGAAAGAAAAAGAAAAAAGAAAGAAAGAAAAAGAAAGAAAGGAAAGAAAGAAGAAAGAAAGAAATGAAAAAAAGAAGAAAGAAAAAGAAAGAAGAAGGAAGGAAGGAAGGAAGGAAGGAAGGAAAGAAAGAAAGAAAGAAAGAAAGAAAGAAAGAAAGAAAGCTCATAAAATCAGGCGCAAGGCGCTCAACAAAGCGCCTTGCTTAGTAGTGGAATTTCTTGCCCTAATTGTGCTCATAAGTCAAGGACTACCATTAAGGACTACGTGTCAAGATAAACCTGGGTTGTTTTTTGAGCACACTGACCCACATTAAAAAAAAAAGACACTCTGTTGCCCACTCTCAAGAAAGCATATATATTACCCAAAACAAAAACATCCAAAAGTGCTGTGCGTTAACAATGACCTATACCAGTCATGGCGAACCTTTTAGAGACCGAGTGCCCAAATTGCAACCCAAAACCCACTTATGCATCGTCGGGTGCCGGGTGGGCGTGGCCCATTGGGTGGGCGTGGCCCATTGGGTGGGCGTGGCTGCGGTGGTAACAGCAGACTGGGTGGGACTAAAAAGTTCAATCAATCAATTCCAACTTTGCAAGATCTTTTTTTTCCCACGAGAAGTTGAAATTGACTGATTGAACCTTTTTTTTTTTTTTTTGCACACGGCGGCGGAGGCCTAAAGCGAAAAGGTTTTATAAAACCCAGCTGAAGGCCTAGGACTGGGGCGATGGCGTGTGTGCCCACAGAGAGGGCTCTTGAGTGCCGCCTCTGGCACCCGTGCCGTAGGTTCGCCACCACTGACCTATACAACTCCGGTTGAAGCACAGTTCAAGAAGCAATGACCCATCTTTTGCGAAACGTCTGCCAAATATTAAATTTATTTATTTATTTATTTATTAATTCAATTTATATCCCGCCCTTCTCCTTACCGGACTCAGGGCGGCTGACAGCCTTATAAAACCAATACTACAATAAATACCTAATTTAAAACCGAATTAAAAAGAAATATTTGTTATGGCCTATATAATTAAAATTTCTCTTAAAAACCCCACTAAAATTCCCTAGGCCAATCCC